CTTTCTTTGGGATTCTAACTGGCCTTGGCAGGGACCACATGTTTAAGGTCTTCATATTCAAGGAGAGATCTTAGACCTTTCTGGGCTTTGCCCCTTCTATGGTGTCCTGGGATTCCTCATGGTATCCTTCACTCCAGCATCATCATCACAGCAAATTGCAAACCAAATTGCAACCCTGCAGGGTACTGCAGATGCTGCAGACGTTGCAGACATGTTGGCTGTGGCCTTTCTTTTCAGGCAAAGGGACTAGTCCAGTGGGAGCTTTGTAGCAGGTTCCATTTTGCAGATAAAATTTTTCTTCAGTATGAGAGGACCCTGTGTTATTATGCTCAGCATACATTTGAGTGGTGTGTGTGTGAGTGTGTGTGTGTAGGGTGGGGAAAGGCATATATCTTGTAGTCTGGTTAATATTTAAATAAACAGAGGATGCTACCTGGAGTCAATGGATGGAGCTGTAGAAGAGTCATCAACCTCCAGAAATTTTGTACAAAATTTGAAAGGCAGGCTGCATAGCCTTCACTAGATTCTCAAGAGGGTCTGAGACCTCAGGGAGAGTGGGAATCAGGGCTCCAAAAGGATTTGGCTAGCGACTGCTGGAACCCACTCCGCCAGCCTGCTTCCTGATTTCATTTCACAATGCCCCAGGCCTTTGCTGTTGCCAAGATGCACTGGCCTGCTGCCGGGAACACAGGCTCTTATCTGAGTTAGTTCTGCCACCTACAGCACACAGCCCAGCAACGCCACCGCCTCCCAGCAGCAGAGAGGAAGCCTCATTTGCATACATGAATAAGGGGAGGGCTGCCTTTCCAGCCTGGGAACTCTCCACTGGAAGAAAAATGGCTTTGGGGATTCTCGATTAGCATTCAGAGATGCAAGCTCCTTTGGGGGTGGGTGATGGGAAGATATTTTTACATTAAAGGGAAAGAGATAAATTTTGAGGATTAGCACCTGAAGAAAAGTGTTGCCCAAAACCCAAAGAGAGGAAAGGCACTGTAAAAAAAGAAAGAGATAATGAGCTCATGGGTTCTCACAATAAATGTAACTCTCCCATTTCGTAGCATGTTCAATGCCGATAGTCTTTTCCAGGTCCAAAGAGGTCATCTGCGCCATCTACTTTGTCATATAATGCAAATACTTGCTTCAGAAGGATTTCCTGAGACATCAGAACTTTAAATATAGAGTAGGTTTTTTTTAATATGCTTAAAGCATTTGGAAGGGAGCAGAACAGTCTTTCAGAGCAGAGATTGTTTTATTCTTATTTTTGTGTCCACAGCACCTAAGCAGAATGCCCGACACTTTGGAGGAAGCTCAATAAGCGCTTGCTGATTTAAAGTAATAGAAATGTGGCTTGTTTTGTAATCTGTGCTATGCTTGCTAGTATACAATCATGATACTACAGATTGTTGAATTCATGCCTTAGATGCATTGTCTCAAATTCTCATAGCACTACACAAGATGGGTATTGTTTTGCAGGTAAAACTGAGAACCAGCATTATTAAGTAGCTTATCCAAGGATATACATCTAATGACAGAATCAAAATCCATACCTAGACCTCTTAGCTTGTGAGCTCATGGTTGCTGCACTCCACCCTTGCATATTATTAATATATCCATTGTAAGTTCATTTACAATGAATGGGAAATGAACCAAATGGAAATAGTTTGAAAACTTGCAGTTTTTTTATTAAAAAAAATTTCCCAATCCTTAGAATTTCTATGAAAGCTTTTCTTAATATCCTTGCTTAGTAACAGATGGAAAGATCTTTTACTGATGTTGTCTGAATCTAGCAGTGGTTCTTCTTCAAGGGATAATCACTCTTAAATCTACCTGTACAGATGATTGTAGAATCTTTCACTCCATCTGGTCTTGTGAGCATCAGTGGCTCAGGGAGATAGTGAGGTAGTCTGTAAGTTACACCAACTTTGATTTCCAGCAAGAAATTCTTAACAGGAATACATACATAGAGTCTTCAACATGCTGGAATATGGAGTTCCTCGTACAGTAATCTTGCCTCTTTCGAAGGTTTTTCCTTATTGGCATTTTAGATTTCAAAAAGGACTCCAGAGCAAGCAAGAAGGTATAAGAAGATGCACAAGATTGAAGTCTCATGACTTTACAGTCTGATTTACTGGGGTTGGTTGACTTTTTCTCACATTTTACTTGTATTGTTCAGGCTTTGAAATCTTGTTATCTTCTAGGAAAACCTCAAATGGAAGGAAATTACAGTTGGCCTTTAAATGGGGTTAGTGGTTTTAGCAAATTAAGGTCATGGATATGCAAAAAGAACTGAAGAATCTTTCTAGGTGAAGATGATCTTTATTATCATGCTTAGAATTGAGAAGGAGGGAAGTGAGCATGAGAAAGTGGGAGGAAGTGAAAAGAGGATGGGGTTTAGAGCTGGAAACCAGTGAGAATTGGTGCATGTCTTGCTGTCTCCATTATCTATTCTAAAGCCCAGAAAATATGTAGGGCAGTGGACCTCGAACTCTAGTAGTGTTTATCAAAATTGCATAGCACTATAGGGATGGAAAAGTTTGATATCTTTCTTCATCTGTCATAAGGGTCACTCCTATAATAAAAGACAGGTTAACAAGAGAAAAGTATAGTATACTTATTTAATCAAAGTTTCACATAACATGGGAGCCTCCTGAGCAAAGACCCACAGATACAGGGAAAACTATCCATTTTTATGTTTCAGTTCTGTGAGGAATGGACAGTTGTGTAAAACTGTATTGGACGAAAAGGGCAGGATCTAATGCAAATAGACTGAGTGGGGAAACCCAGCAAGGCCTATCTGTTCAGATTTTTTTGGCCTCTCTGTGCAGCCTTCCTTCCTCCTGGGTGTGGGGCAGGACCCTTTCTGGAATGAGGATCTTATGGCCTACTATCAAACAAAGTAGATCAGAGAATTTCTTTATGGTCAGCTCTTACGCAGAAAGGCAGGAGAAGGTTAGAGTAATATTTTTCGGTTTATGACTGGCTTTGAGGGAGAAGGGTACTGGTTTCTATGATCTACCTTGGGGAAAAGAGATTCTAGTTTCTGCTAGCCTTGGGGGAGAATGAGGGGCGAGAGACAGAAGGGCAGGAGAAAGTCAGAGACAAATCCCTTCACTTTGGGGTATTGCTTTCTGAACCCTAACAGGGGTATGGATTTTTAAAATGCAGATTCGAGGCCCCACCTCCAAACCCAGTGAAACAGGAGGGGCAGGGCCTGGAAGTCTGCATTTTTAACAGTCAGCTCATTTGGTTCTGATGGAAGTGTTCCTTAGACCACACTTTGAGAAACAGCAGCAAAGAAAGCTCCTCCAGTTTTCTTTGCATTTGAGCCCAACCTGGGAACACAGAGATAAAAGGCATAGTCTCAGCATCAGAAGAGTTCCTGGCCTGGTGGCAAAGGCAGACTTGGAAGCACACAAAGCATGGATGGGTAGAAAGGGGTGGGTGCTCTGGAGAACTGAAGAGAGGCACCCACTCAGCCTGCACATCTGGGAAGAAGGCTTAATTGAAGAAGTAACTATGTCTTCAAGGATGAGTGGGCATTTACCGGGAAGAGGTGAGGGAGAATGCCAAGTAGAGGGAGCTCTCCCCAGGTAGAGGGAGTCAAAAAACAACATGGCCTCTAGGGATGAGCTCAAGGTGAGAGAGAGTGTAAGGAAAGAGAGTCATCAGGAAGGTCAGCTGGCGAAGCTGAAGACTGCACATCTTGTCTTTCACAACAAAGTGATGCGTTTTCCCATGGGAAGGTGAATTGCCAATATTCGTATCACTGTAATTGCAACAGCAATTAATGTGTCATTCCAAATTGTGGTCTCTGTCCTCTTAGCACTCTCAATGCAGTGATATTCTGATAAGCTTCCAACTGAGAAGGAATTCAGAAAAATCCAAGTCAGTCCTAAATGGATCTACCTTCTTGCTTCACTCATTTAATTTTTGTCATCATATGTCTTGGACCAAAGTGAGGCTGAAAAATCTAACGAAGGAGGGAACAAGGTGACTGTGTACAGAACCACAGTAAAGCTTGCTACATTGAGTGGAATATTAACACATGTTATTTATAGTATCATCATGTGTAAAGTACAAATGAGTGTATGAATAAAAATAAAATAGCCTTCATCATCTGCCTTTCTAAGAATTAGGATCAAAAAGTATCTGTAGTTACCACTCCATTCTCCAAAGTTTAAAATATGAATCTCACTGCCAGATAATCTGCATAAACTAGCATTATAAATGATAGTGTGTGGTTATACAACCAAGACTAACAGCCAGAAACCAGAGAGAAATCAGAGCATGCCAAAGGAACAGAGCTTTGTTCTTTAACCAGAAACAGTCATTTGAATTCAATATAGAGTTACATGTGTCGACCCCATATTCTATATAGAAAGTATGTGTGGGCCGGGCGTGGTGGCTCAAGCCTGTAATCCTAGCACTCTGGGAGGCCGAGGTGGGCGGATTGCTCAAGGTTAGGAGTTCGAAACCAACCTGAGCAAGAGAGAGACCCCGTCTCTACCATAAATAGAAGGAAGTTAATTGGCCAACTAATATATGTAGAAAAAATTAGCCTGGCATGGTGGCACATGCCTGTATTCCCAGCTACTCAGGAGGCTGAGGCAGGAGGACGGCTTGAGCCCAGGAGTTTGAGGTTGCTGTGAGCTAGGCTGACGCCATGGCACTCAGTCTAGCCTGGACAACAAAGTGAGACTCTGTCTCCAAAAAAAAAAAAAAAATAGAAAGTATGTATGTGTTTGTGTGTGTGAGAGAGAATCATGTTCAGCTGTAATATCCTATTATAAATGATACTAAATTAAGTGGGTATATTCATTGGTTGGTAATATTAAGTTGAAAATACTTCTTTGCCCTCATACTTCTATAAAGAAAATCAAATCGAAAGGGAAAAAAGAAAATTATCCTTAAGCTATCTAATTGATGCCAGCTGTTAGCATTATTTATTGTAATTAATATTACCAAGTAGCAAAACACCAATGTCTTTGAACTCCTTGCAGTTGTGTGTAATACTGGAGCCAATGCAGGAACTGATGTCGAGACATAAAACTTACAACCTCAGTCCCCGAGACTGCCTGAAGACCTGCTTGTTTCAGAAGTGGCAGAGGATGGTGGCACCGCCAGGTACACCCTCGTTCTTCACTCTCTTTCTAACACATTTTCAGAGGCTTCTTCTGGGGTTGAAGTGATGTGAAAAGCAAGGAAGTGATCATAAATTTACCAGAAAAAAGTACTTTATTAGGGTATTCCAATCCTTGATTTTAGACCTAAAGACACTGAAATCATGATGAGCAAATATCCTTCAAAATTATCTATAGTCCCCTTGCTTGCCTGAAACCCAGAGAAGTAAAGTGATTTGTTCAAGGTCATCAAGAAGGTCATTGGCAAAGTCAGGATCAGAGCCTGGGTTTCTCCTCTCCCAATCCAGTAGTTCTTTCAGTGGACCGGACTACTGGCTTCTCATGGCCTAATGTTTTTGGTTTTTAAGAATGATAGGAAGTATGTAAGGGAATGAAGAAAGGGAGGAGGAAGGAAAAGAAGGAAAGAGGGAGGAAGAAAGAAATAATGGAAAGAAAGAAGGAAAAAAGGAAGGAAGGATAAAGTGTGCTCTATTTTTTAAGATATATCAGAAGGTACAGAATGAACAGAATACATAAAAGATTCCATTTCCCTCACTTCCCTAGAATGCAGTTTAGATACTGTAGTCTCCTGCCGGGGTTCTGAAATTACTGCTTCAAGTCATCATTAATTGTCTCTCTATCTAATACATTTTTGCTCCCAGGCAAGTATCGAGGCTCATTGATCATAAAAGCAAATGCATCCATTCACTAAAAATTATTTTTATAAAGAGTAATTATTAACATGAGGCACATAGCTTTCTGAATCACATAATATAATGGTCACCTTCAGCTGGTAATTGGCCAGGGGGTTTATATAAAATGATAATAGCGGACTTAACAAAGGACATATAGAAAGCTGAGAAAATAAGTGTTATTTTATATAGAATAGTTGCATCCCCATCTTAAGGGAATTTTAGACTTTTAGAATATGACTTTTCAAATGTATTAAATGTGCTTAAATTGGCTTTATTTTCTCTTTCAATTTTAATAAGACTTTATGGAAAAAACACTACATTCACTTACAAATGCTTTGAGCACCTTTATTTTCTAACATATAATATAATTCATATTTTATTCATTCATTCATTTGACAATTATTTATTGAGATTCTGCTAGGCACCATGCATAGCTCTATCCACTGGGGGTATAATACTGAATGAAACTGTCAAAAGTATTGAATCTGCACAAGAACTTTGTGAGATATTTATTGTTATCCTCATTTTATATACTGAGGCCTGAGACTTAAAGTAGTAACTTGCTACAGTCCCCCCCCATAGTTAACAAATGAAGGAGGACTATGTCAGGAATTTTTTTTTATGCCTCCAAAGTCCATGATTTTACTACCACAGCCATATGGAGCCAATGAGAATAATCCAGATCATGCATTTTAGGTACATTTACCCCAAATTTTATGAACAAAGCACAGGCACAAAAAAAAAAGATAGTAGATTTACACTCTTGAGGTCAAAAGAAGAAGATGCTTGTCTGTAGTAGATCTGGATATCTGCTTGACCTTAGAATGTCTTGCTTAAGTCTTCTTCCAACTCCTTGAACTAGAGCAATTCTATTTCCTGCTTCCATCATCCTCAGAACAAGTACCCATAACTCTATGGCAGGAGATGATAAAATCTTCAATTAAAATCTTTGAGCATAAGGGACAAAATATTTATTAAAGGAAAAATGGTATATAAATAGGAACATAATTCTCATCTTCCTCATCCAAAGTCAGGAACAACATAGTGATTTTTGAAATGAGCCTTGAAGGAGGATCCTCCCCCTTGTTCATCAGAAGCAGATAGGTGTTTTAAGAAAATGTTGCAAGGTCCTCTTAGTGCCAGTATACCTGCCTAGCTTACCTGCCTAGCTTACTCACTTTCCTAGGTTACCTGCTTTCCATTAGAGTTGGATCTAAAGTAGGGTTTTAACACTTGTACCCCCATAATACACTAAAATAAAAAATAAAAATAAATAAATAAAATAAAGTAGGGTTAACAAAAAAGATTCTCTTACTCACCATATCCAAATTATTCAGTACTTCCAGGAGAAAGCTTCTGAAGCTTTCTCATTTACAAAACAAAGATTATAATAATAGTACCTACATAATAGGATTGTTATGAATAAAAAATAGTTAATATATAGAAAACATTCAGAATAGTGCCTGCATGACATAGTGCTCTACACATAATACATAAAAAAAACACCAGAGAACGAAAGTATATTCCTCACACCACGCATGGGCTCCTATATTTCCATTAATATGTTGCTTCATTCTTCAGGTCCAAAATATTTTTCTCTATTTCTGAATAGACCTTTCTTGAAGAGGTCCATCTTCCTTCAGTAATATGCTGACTATACCATACTAAGGCACCTTTTTCCAGAAATTTTGACATTATTAGCATTCATTAAACACCAGTGTCCAAACCATGGGTATTGCTACTGAACTTTTTAACATCTCTAAGCTTCACATCTATAGCTGATAGAACTGGCATTTTACTTGACAATCCTATCAAGGTCTAATAGAGGTAGGCTGCAATATGACATTTAGCCAGTAGGTGCTGCTATTGCACACTGGTTCACTAATTCGACTGTCCACCATCTCTCATACCTTGGAGGTACTCTAGGTATCCTAGGAGTTCCCCCTTTGTTACAAGGAGAAGGTAGTTTAGGGGGAAAAATCTTCCCAAATTTTCTAATAGTAATAATATTTTAAATTTAATTATGAAAATGGTACTTGTAGTTCACCTCTAAAATATATTTTAAAAATTAAAGACACAATTAGAACAATTCAATAAAAATTACTTATCTACAAAGAAAATAGTTTCACACATTTTGTGCCAAAAGTAAATCGATAACTTTCTCTTTTTATTTTTTGTAAAGTTATAAGAAACGGAAAAATTGTAAATAGTCTCCTCTTCTATTTACAAAACTCCACTCCACCAGAGGGACGGTATTCTGATGATCGCTCTGATGTTCTTGCCCTGGGACTGATCCCTCTCACGCACGACACATTACCAGGGGTCCCTATATTTCCATTAAGGTGTTGCCCCATCCTTCCCTGTTCTGTATTGCAGCAGAACCCACAAGGCAACCAACAACCAAACGGAGAAAAAGAAAAAATTCCACCAGTAGCACATCCAACAGCAGCGCTGGCACCAACGCCAACAGCACCGGCAGCAAGAAGAAGACCACGGCCGCAAACCTGAGTCTGTCCAGTCAGGTACCTGTAAGTCTCGCTTTCCTTTTAGGCCTGAAATCCTGCCTTTTGCCTGCTTCCTACTCAAGGGACCCAAATTAAACTCTCTTTTGGCTGCAAAAAAAAAAAAAAAAAATGGGGGCAGGTTGGAGGTGGGGGAGGGATGAATGGCAGGAACAAAGGTTGGGATGGGAGGGAAATGTCTGCCTTGGAAACCTTCCCCTGCAAACTGAGAATTGGAAGGGAATATTAAGAGTTGTGCTGCAAGGGGACCTGAATGAAAAAGCTGTCAGAGTCACAGACAGGAGATATGTCACTTAAGGTTTAATTAAAATATCACTTAGCAGCGTGCCTGGTGGCCCTCTCATCACCATCATCGGAGACCCCATGCTCCCCTGGAAACTAGCTCCTGGCGCTCAGTCTCCGTATTGTAACTTGACTGGGTCTTCCCCACATGGGCATCCCCTCTTATTTTAAAACTCAGGTAATTAACTTGTAGCCACTAAAAACCTAGCTCCGTGAAGCTCTGGCTTTACCCATCTCATTAGCTCAGGGGAGGAGCAGCCCCTGATTTGGTCTCAACTCTTTTGATCCACTATCCCTTTTCTTTCATTTCTGGGTCTTGGCAAAGGCCGCTTGAAAGAGGCTTGTTTGCACTCCACCGTTGACAGCTGAGGGTAGTCCCCAAATAGTGAAAACTCTGCAGGAACCTTCTTCATCTCCTATTAATTCTTCTCCAGCTCTGCCCCTTCTGCTGAACCCCTTCCTGTCCCCTGACTCCCTGACACGGTGTTTGACTATCACCTTTAAATGCCGATGTTCCTTTAAACTTCCACTCTTCCTTCTCTGCTGTCCTTGTCCCCTCACCCTGTCACCAGGTGTTTGACTGTCATTCGAATGCTAACATTTCCTTGGCACTTAATGGACACCCTCTAGATGCTGTGTTTCCAGAAGTTGCCCTATTTCTCATTACGTCCCTCAACCAGTACAATTTTACATTTTCAGTCTTTCTCACTTTTTTCCCCTCTTGGTCTGTCTTCCTCACCCTTCTTACTCTGGTCCTGTTCTATCGCTTTTAGGTAGGAGTTGGTCTTTACACAGCAATTCCCACTTACTTCCAAATGTGCCTTTCCAGTCTGCCCTCACTCACTTGTACTCACTTTCCATGAGTCAGCCCTTCTGGGCCCAAACCAGCCCATCGGTACCCTGAGAATTCCCTGGGCCACTGGGACTCCCGTCTCCCATTTCCCGCAGGTGGGAGCATTTCCATTCCATCGCATTGGAAAGAAGGGGTCATGGAGAGACCAGCCAGCCTGCTGTGGAAATTGTCATTTTAACCTTAAGGCCATTAGGAATCATAGTCCTCAGATAATGAAAATAGTCCCCAGATAGTCTTCTATTTTCTGAACTAGGCTTTATATCTGCCACCCCTAAAGGTGAAGAGGGAAAATTAAAGAAGAAAGACTGAGTCTCCTTATGAAGGTATCAAGTTATGCCCACTCCTGGTGAAATTGGAAAATGCATAGAGAAAATAGCCTGATGTAAATAAATCAACTGAAAAAGTGTATGCAAGTAACCCATTTATCCATCCAATCCTGGAGTTTAAGACACTAATATTTATCAGTTTCCTCTAACAAATGAGAAAAGTGCATTTCAAAGAATTCTGGAATTGTGACATAGCTACATATGTTTTCTGAGCTCCTAATATGTGCCCTACACTATATAGCAGGTACTAGAAGTACCAAGCTAAAAAAAAAAAAAAAAAAAAAAAAAAAAAAAAACCCAGGCTCTGTCATTAAAGAGCTCACTGTCTAATCTAGGGATGGCAAAAAGGTTTGCTCTCTCCTGCCAGCTCACAGAGCACTGTATCGAGGAGGATTCTAGGGCATAGATTGGGTTTGATGGCCATCCATAATGATGTCTGCCACAGGTGTAGAATTTGAGTGTGATAGCCTATATGTCGTTTATTTTGACACACCTGGTCTAGTCAGAATCATTTCAGTTTCAAAGAGCACCTGGTTTTTTCCTACCCCATTATGCTCCTGTCTTCCAAACCAACAACTGTTTTTAAGTAGAGGATACCTATGTCCAGAGGGTTTTTAATGAGTTGAGACCCTTTGGACTTTGTGTAAGCAAGGCACCCTTAGGAAGGGAAAATTGAGTTTTCAGTATTATCTCCACTCTTATGTAGTTAAAGATGTTTTAATTCAGCAAAACTTTCAGATGACCAAGAGAGGTAGGGAAGACAACCAGGTCAGGACAATATACAAATTCCTATGTGTCCTCGAGTTGAATGGATGTAAATGATAAGCGTTGGATGCCTGTGGGAACCACATCTTTTAACCCTGTTTACTGAATTATCAACCCTATCCTACTGGCTAAATAGAAATACTGTCTGCAGGCACCCGCTGCCTGGTCCAAAGGCGTGTGCCAATGCGACCATCCATGGTCTGTATAGCTGCTGTGGCAGAGATGTGTGTGTCTGGCGAGGACTAGGTTTAATCCTTGGATTCTGCTTCTCACTCCATGAGCAGGGCTAGGAGCGATCCGAACTGCAGCCTCAACCCTGGGAGGGATGGAGACCTGTGTCATTCAACAGCAGTGACCCCTTCTGGCCAATTTAAGGAGAAGCATTGAGGGGCCCTGAAAGGAGTCACTTCCAGTCCTCCTCAGAGGTTGGTGGTCCTTGCCCGGGGATTAGTGAGAAGATGTGAAACGGGCAAGAGCTGGTGGCACCTCCAGGCTTCCAGCCAAGGAGCAGAAGTTGACCTTGTGGGAGACGAGGGCACATGGGTCCCCCTCGGGTGGATCACCGTTGCCTCCATGGGACACACAGGATAGAGATGGGAAGGAAATGCACTCTCACTGACAACGTTGGGGGACTTTTAAAGAATGTGGGGTGGGGAAATGCTGCTAACACCCCTAGAGGCATCCGACAGAGTGTGCATTGTTTTTCCATTGATTTTGTGTGACGATAACCAATCAAGACAGCCAGAGAATTACTATCCTAGCCTAGAGGTTTAGAAGAACCAAGTAGAGACATGTGCATAATTTTATAAGTGGCCTCAAGCGTCCATGTGCATATGAAGCCTTATCTTGCCATCTATCAATCATGCTCACGAGTACACCCCACACACGCACACACACACAATTATATATTGGCTAAGGATATTTTTATAATCAGTAAAGCAAATGTGACATCCCTCTGAAATTTAGGCTGCTTGAAAACACCTATGCCTATGCTTGGGCATCTTTTCCAGCTGCTCCTAGACAAACATTCCCAAACATAGTAGAAGCTTATTTCAGCTCCATTTGAAGTGATACAAGCCACTATTTTCATAGTACTTTTTCTAATACAATGAATGCATCTGAGTGTTGGGAACTTTCTTTTCTGATATCATGCTTAAGTTGCCTGCTTCTTATTTTCCTCCTCCTCATACTGTCCATCCTCTGTCAATGACCTTGGAGTCACAAGACTAACGCAGACCCACGCGGTTGGTCCTAGCATCTTTCTCCTGCCCGTGACCCCTTTATGCATGCATTTTCCAAGCCCTTCAAAGTGTGCTGTACACACGTCATGAAATGACATTAACCCTCATGTCATGCTCTGGCCAATCTTGCCCTATTCTTTCCACCTACTTTTGTTCCTAATCATAAGTGCAGTCTCCTAATTGCCTGTAGCTAAGTGGCCCTTTTTATTCATCCTGAACTCCCCAATGGGTCATACGGCAGCTGCCTGGCTAACGGAATAACGTTCGTGTCTCTGCGGTGGCCACATTCCATCTAAAACCCTGTCGTCGTTCTTGCCTGTCAGAAGGACTGTGTCTATTTTGCATCTCACCTTAAAAGTTCTCATGAGTCCTCTTCCATGTCACTGTCATTTCTGGTTCTTCTTTGCATAATCAATACGCTCTTGAAAACACACATCTGAATATCCGCCGGCACTCTATTGCTGGGTTTACCAAGTTCACATTTTAGGCATTCACTCCATCTGGGACATTTCTCTTTAAAATCATTTTATCCATTCACATGAGTGATTAGTCAGAAAACATAGCTATAGAAACCTATTGACTATCTCCCTTAATTCAAAGGGGTGGGGGTGGGGAAGGGCATAAATAAATAAATAAAGCAAGGTTTTCCATTCCAAATACACCAGGCAGTAATAAGGGATTTGTTTAATGGGCACTTTGAAATTCTAGAAGGGATCTGTACATCCACTGCCTTCTTCTGACCATAGGCAGTGTTCTATTAAGCAGCCCCAGGAGGAAAGCCTCCTCTGGCAAAGCCTCAGTGGAAAGTATGTCTGCCCAGTTGCCAAAGTGTCTGATTAGATTAGCCTCCCTCCCAGGAGCCAAGCCACCCTCTCCTCTCCAAAGTATCAGGCCCAGCCCTGCTTTCTCTGCTTCAGCGGGGCTCATAGCAGTTGGTCGATTTCCTGAAATTACTGCACTTTTAAGTAGAGTATTGCTCAGAGCCTGCCAAAACGATCCACCTGACAGGGTCCTGTCCAATGTCGAGGTCACCCCTCAACCAGCCATGGTCCCCTCTGAATACAAAGCCTGAGCTGTGCCCTGTGCCCAGATCTTTCTCCCTGTGCCTGTGCCTGTCCAGCTTGTGCCTCCCTGGTGTCCAAGCTATAGTAGGTGCTTACTCGTTTGCATGGAAGGACAATTTGTACTTAAAGGAGTGATTACATGGATTCTTCTCACACACTCCCATCTCTGATGACTACCAGCTTCATCAATGTAATTATAATTAGCGCTCTTCATCTTCCTTTTTATGGCACCAGCTGGACAGACTGGTTCTCTTTGCTGCCCAGATGGGTGGCAGGGTTGCCAGTGTGGGATAGGTGACAGGCACCATGAAATAACAGATGGTAAATTCAGGGCTTGTTGGCAATCAGCAGGTTTTTGCTAATGACTAATAGCTATGCAAATTGTCAAATCAGTGTGAACATTGTTTTTATCGGAAAACTTTACCTAAATTAATTACCATATTAAGTAGCAGAATGTCAAGGATATTGGCTGCCATAAAAGGGCCTGGTCACGACCATTTTGTGCCAACAATAAATTGATAACTTTCTCTTTTTATTTTTGTTAATTTATAAGCCAAAGCGGAAAAATTGTAATAAGTCTCCCTCTTCTATTTACAAAACTTCCACTCCACCAGAGGGAACGGTATTTGATGATCGCTCTGATGGTTCTTGGCGCTTGGGAACTGATCCTCTGCAAACGCACGACACATTACCAGGGGTCCTATTTTTTCCATTAAGGTGGTTGCCCCATCACTCTCCCTGTATCTGTATTGCAGCAGAACCCAACAAGGCAAAGGCGACATACCAAACGGAGAAAAAGAAAAAATTCCAGCAGCATAGCACATCCAACCAGCAGCGGTGGCAACCAACCAACCGAGCACCGGCAGGCAAAGAGAAGACCAGCGGCCGCAACTGAGTCTGTCCAGTCAGGTACGCTGTAAGTCTCGCTTTCGCTTTTAGGCTGAAATCCTGGCCTTTTGCCTGCTTCCTTACTCCAAGGGACCCAAATTAAACTCTCTTTTTGGTTGCAAAAAAAATAAAAATGGGGGCAGGTGGAGGTGGGGGAGGGATGAATGGCAGGACAAAGGATTGGGATGGAGGGGAAATTCTGCTTCTGGAACCTTCGCCTGACAAACTGAGAATTGGAAGGGAAATATTAAGAGTTGTGCTGCAAGGGGACCTGAATGAAAAAGCTGTCCAGAGTCACAGACAGGAAGATATGTACTTAAGGTTTACTTAAAATTCACTTGCACGTGCCTGTGGCCCTTCATCACAATCCATTCGGAGACCGTGCTCCCTGGAAACTAGCTCACTGGCGTCAGTCTCCGTATTGTAAACTTGAGCTGGGTCTTCCACCATGGGTTCGCCGCTCTTATTTTTAAAACTGCAGGTAATTAACTTGTGCCACTAAAACATAAGCTCCGTGAAGCTCTGTCTTTTACGCATCTCATTAGCTCAGGGGAGGAGCAGCCCCTGATTGGTCTCAACTCTTTTGATCCCACTATCCCTTTTCTTTCATGCTCTGGGTCTGCAAAGGCCGCTTGAAGAGGCTTGTTTGGGCACTCCCGTTGACAGCTGAGGGTAGTCCCCAAATAGTGAAAACTCTGCAAGAACCTTCTTCATCTGCTATTACATTTTCTCGAGCTCGCTCTGCCCTTCTGCTGAACCCGCTTCCTGTCCCTGACCTCCTGACACGGTGGATTTGCCCTATCACGGCTTAAATGCGATGTGCGTTTAAACTTCCACTCTTCTTCTCTGCTGTCCTTGTCCCTCACCTTCCACGCAGGTGTTTGACTGTCATTGCATCCTAACCTAAACATTTCCTTGGCACTCTCATGGCACGCCTCTAAGATCTGTGTTTTCCAAGAAGTTGCCCCTAAATTTACTCATTACGTCTCAACCAGTACAATTTACATTTTCAGTCTTTTCTCCACTTTTTTCCCCCTCTTGGTACTGTCTTCCTGCCACCTTCTTAGCTCTGGTCCTGTTCTAATCGCTTTTAGGTAGGAGTTGGTCTTTAAGCAGGCATTCCCCTTACTTCGCAAATGTGCCTTTCCAGTCTGCCATCACTCACTTGTACTCAACTTATCCATGAGTCAGCCTTTGGGCCAAACCAGCCCCAATCAAGTACCCTGAGAACTTCCCTGGCCACTGGACTCCCGTCTCGCATGTTCCGCAGGTGGAAGCATTTCATTCATCGCATTGGAAAGAGG